ACCTACCTTACAATTTTGGCATTCAGATTGTAATTCTGTGACTGAGTTAAGTAGTCTATCTCTAAGATATATACCTACCTTAGAATCTTGGCATTCAGATTGTAATTCTGTGACTGAATTAAGTAGTCTATCTCTAAGATATATACCTACCTTAGAATCTTGGCATTTAGATTGTAATTCTGTGACTGAGTTAAGTAGTCTATCTCTAAGATATATACCTACCTTAGAATCTTGGCATTCAGATTGTAATTCTGTGACTGAGTTAAGTAGTCTATCTCTAAGATATATACCTACCTTAGAATCTTGGCATTCAGATTGTAATTCTGTGACTGAGTTAAGTAGTCTATCTCTTTCATTTCTCAAAGCTGAATATTGTGATTTGCTGTCTCCAATTGTAAATTGAAGTGAATTACACTTTTCATCAGCGCTGCGTTTCAATTCATCATTATGTTGCCTGGAAGCATTCAGCTTGCCTTCAAGTTCTTTGATGTTTTTGTGTTTGAGTTCTAACTGCTTATCAGTCTGCTCTCTGTAGAAGAATGAAACAATTATCATAATTGTTATTGCTAACACAGGAAGTAAAGTGCAGAAATAACACTGATTACCTTAGCTACAAAGCCATGCCATGAATTGTAAAAATAGATGGATATCAAATATGGTGACTTCACCAAACTACTTTTTGCTATTTTTGCTGAAGGAATGATTCAGTGAAAATAAAATCCAGCGAATATACCTTTTTTCTTATATTTTACATTCAACTCGTCAAAAATCAGTAAAAAGAAATTCCATACAAAACACCCAAAAAAAACAGCTAAAATAAAGTATTTTACAGTTACTGTAGTTGCAGTATAGTTGCATTATAATGAGATGAAACATTAGGATGCAAATGAGAGAAATTTCCCCGGCTTTTCATTTACCATGGTACATGTATACAAATGCAAAATTCATTTAGTTTATATGCACTTCTAACCGAGAAAATCCTGTGCTCTCGCTGTCGCTCGCAAATGTCGTAAATTACGAAATTTGGACAAGATTTACGAACAAAATAAATATCTATTAGTAGGATTTACGAACACATTTTGTACAAAATACCCTCGCAAATCGCCTCATTTAATTGTCAAGACTCGACTGTGATCATCACGCGTGTTACGGTTTGTGATTGCCATTTTAACAATGTCCCGTTACTTCTAAGATTGCAACAATTGTTACATGGTGATCGCGATCAACACGGAACTGCCACTGAATGTATTTTTCCACTCTAAAGTTATTTTGGTGTCATCGCACATGCGTAGTTTAGTGGA